CACGTACAACGATAAAAACATAAAAAAAAGGATAATTTGGATTCGATCATAGTATTTCGGGGTCGTTCCTCGTATTCCGGACCATTCTGAAATACGTAAATCGTTTTATAAGATAGAATGCAAAGTAACTTAAAGAGTAAAACTTACTTGGGTTGACGAATCCATGCTGAAAATTTGGTCCGAAATATGGGTAGATAATACTTTGGATTTCCAAATTCTGAAACGTGTATTCCGGATTTTTTGTGTGGGACCCGTGTGTGTGTGTGTGTGTGTATATATATATATATATATATATATATATATATATATATATATATATTTAGTAGGCTTGGGCTGGTTTTCGGGTTCGAAATAACTCATTCCGGACCAAATGGTTAGTTTTCAAAAACAAAAAAAAAATGGTTATATTTTTAAAAAACACCCAAAAAAAATTAGATTACTTAGTTTTCTGTAAAATAATATTTAAACCCATATTTTGTCGCCTAAAAACATAGAAAGACCATTCTTCCTAAGTTATAACATGAGGAAATGGTTTGGATAACATTAATACTCATTTATCTAAATCAATCATCAAAAGATTTATAAAATGGTAAAAACAAATACTATTTTGAGTCCCTAAACAATATTGAATGGTCGAAAACACCTTAAAGGCTTAAACAGTATCAAATGGCTAAAAACACCTTATATCATGTCATAATTATGTGTTTTCCTAATCGGAACGATTCTCATCGACCATTTGAATTTTGTCCAATTTTAATACCATACATGAGTTGTACATGATGATGTCTGTCATTTTTCAATCCTACTAGCCATGTTTTCATCATATGTTATACACATAGCTACATAAGTTGTACCTCATGTACAGGGCCGACCCGATACATGGGCGAGATGGGTCGAGGCCCAGGGCATCAGATCTGAGGGGGCATCATTTAGTCATGTGTTAACGATGTATATAGCAGTTTGGTCCAAAAGATTTAGCCCAACTTTTGATTTTTGTTCTCCGACGCTAGGCTGGAGGCAAGGTAAAAAGCGTGCAATCGAATCGACGTTGGAGATGTAATCGACATTTTTGATTAGCTTATTGTCGATCGACGCCTAGAAAAATGAACTTTGTTGAAGATCGAGGAGCCGACTTCTTCTCTAAATCTAATTTCTACTTTTTGATTTCTCTTTCTCCTATATCTGATTAGTGATTTGGTGATATTTATGAGTTGGGGTTTGAACAAACTTTGTCGTTCTTTGTATTTCTTATTTTTCTGATTCCTAATTATAAATTCTCCTATTTTAGTATTTTATCACTATTTCTGTTGGAGTTCGATCGTTGAAGTTGTATACTTGGCGTTCGTCGGTTCAAATTTCAAAGCCATCAGCTAAAGAGGTAATTATCGGTTCTATTATTCTATTTCTGATTCCTAATTTGTTCGGAATATATCAGTTTTGTTTGAAATATGCATCTTTGATATCATATTTGTTTGTTTGATTATAGTAGTTTGGTTCAGAATGTTTAATTTTTAATTTCTTGGGGTTTGATTCATTTTTAATTTCTTAGGGTTTGATTCAGGAGTAAGACTGTAAGAGTTGGAATATATGCTTAATTTTTTTAGTTCAAAATTAGGAGTTGCTATAGGCATGATTTTTGTGGTATGTTTCAGGTATAAGTTCTATGGTTTTATGTATGAATTTCAAGAGTTCCAATCTGAATTTTTATGGTTTGTTTATGTTATTAAGGAGGTATACGTTTCTATTGAATTTTGAACTTTTGATTATTTTGGATATTTTGAGGCATCAACTAGGGACAGTAGTATACAATTTTCCATTGTTATTTGTTGCTATCAGACATAGTTTTTTTTTTAATTGATCTATATTTATGATTCTATGATTCATTTTCCATATCACTTTACATATTGAAACTGAAAAAACACAAACTTTGGTAATTTTTTTTGGTTTTGAAACAATAGGGGTAAATTAGGAAAGATATTGATAACATTGTATGATCTCAATGACTCAATAGCATTGACTTTAGTTTGTTTTTTTTTTTCTAGTTTAGAGATAGCAGGGGTAAATTAGGAAAGATTCTTATTTTAGATTTCCGCTTTGTGTTTTTAGTGTATTTTAGTTTTCCTGAGATTGAAAAAACTCATTTGTTCTTTTAATCTTATATCATCAATATCTTTACTCAATTTTATTTATTTTTTTATAGTTAACAGTGTATTAAAATGGTGAAATCTTTTCGTTGAATTTTAGTTAGTAGGATCTGAGTGAAATACCAGAGATTACAGATAATGAGCTGGCTGTGGCAAGAGAAGGAATAAAAATTAAGAACAGAAGACAATTTACAATCCAATTTCTTTGGAACAGAGCAAGTGCATGAAACAAGGAAATGTGACAAATGGCTTCTGAAGCATCGTGTAATGTTCTAAGAAAAGGAATTATCACCTATCTTTGAAGAAGAAAATTTTGCTTGAAAACTAAATATATGCTTGAAGAAGAAAAATCACTATTATATGTTTTTTTGTAGTTATATGTGTGTATATGAAAAACATGTTTAAAATCCATTGGAAAATTATGTTCGAAAATTATACCCAACAAATAACATGTTCAAGAAATTCATAGGAGTTCGAATATTCAGACTTTCAATGTATATATATTTTTAAAGTCCATGAGTTTGAAAATCTGAAACTCGGAATTTAAATTTTGTTAAAAAGCAATTTTCGAATTTACTTTTTGCATAAAAAATGAGCTTGAAAAAAAAGAGTTCGAAAATATGGATATCCAAACCGTATGGTCATCTAGGTTTTTCTTAAAAAGATTATTGCTCTTTTTTGTTATTCATTAGGCAAAAATTATTATTTTGATGAATACTTTTAAAAAAATGTTATGATTACATCACCATATATGTATCTTTTTCCTTTTTTTTTTAACATTATCCATAAATTAAAAACAAAGTCTAGCTAGGAGCTAGCAACAAAAAAAATACACACTAGTTCATAATTAAGTTTTTCAATCCTCTAATCCCATTCTTCCTAGTTTTAATGTTTCTAACATAAAACCAAATAAAAGAAAAAGCTACAATGTTATCAAAAATAAAATCCTTCGTATACTTGTTTCCACGAAAAATCAAAGCATTATCGTAAGTTTATAGAACCCAAATGATCGTTATACAAACCGAGTCCAAAGTCGTATGCTTCAAACGAACTACACACCGTACACAATATTGACTCCACTTCCACGTCATGTTTATTTAAATTCATCCGTGTTGGAATACGATCCATCATATTCTAACGAGTTGTAAAAGTATCAGTCAGAATATGAAATCTGACAGATCCAACCGAGAACGTACAAGAAGAATCTAACTCTCGTCCTAAAGCATCTGCTCCCGAAGTCAGTTGGACAACCTATGACAGACAACAGGTGAGAAAACTGAGCAGCCACCACTCCACCTAGAATAGGCCTATTCCATGTAAAGCTCCACGACTGATTACTCAAAAAATCCCGAACCATGCCCTTTTAATTGCTAGACAGACATACAATCTATGAAATCGATTCACCAAAGATATACCTGGACAAAGCATACAATCTAGGAAAGCGATTCAACATATGTGTATCTAACCTATAAATATAATTGAAATGTCTACAAAAATAGAATTAATATTTATTTGGTCCATTCAGAAATAGAAAATATTAAAGTTTTAAATCTAAACACTTTATTTGTGGGAGGGAGGCACCGTTGGATAAGCTTTATAGACGGCGATCTTGGCAATTTATGCATTTGCTACACCAAATGGGTCCAAGCATAAAGACCCATGTGCCCACCTACACGACACACCTCCCTTCTATGTTTTTCTTTTCTGATTTATATAAAACCCTCAAAATTCAATATAATGATATGGAAATTATAAAGTGCTTTTGTGCCATGAAATAGACAACTATTCGTCTATTTTGGTTACAATTTGGGGAATAATAAGATCTAAAATAGAAAAAATAAGTATTGATAAAACAAAACCAATATAAAATGTTGCTACAAATTTCTACTTACGTATCTTTGTGAAAATTATCACGTTATACATACTTATTTTTTCAGATATAGGTTTTATTTTATCAAAAGATGAAATTTGTAGTAATATTTTTATATTGATAGTTTTCTATTTTGATATAAAACTAATTTATCTAAATAAGTAGCCGTTTAAAAATATATAAATAAGTACGTTAAACATGATAAACATAAATAGAAGTATAAAAAGGATTAAAAAACTGTGATTTTCTATATAATATAATTAAATTCATTGGTAAAAAAAATTATAAAAATAATTGACAGTGCTTTTTAAAAAAAAAATGTCATTTTAGTGGTAAATTATGTAAAAAAAAAAAAGTGACCAAATATATAAAAAATATAAAAAAATTTAGTATTAAATGATAATATATTGGAATTTTTTAGCATTTCCTAATTTTAAATTATTAGAGTTTTTAATTGATGAACCTATAAAATCATCTTCTATTTGACTAATATTGCCAACTAGGTCGGCTAATTAAGTCATATATAACACACTACTAAATTAGAATTTTCTCGACTAGCCGTTTGATCTCAAAATCGTTACCTAAAACTAAAAGATAAGAAATTATTTTTTTCTTAACCATTTAATCATATACAAAATTAATAAAATGTCCATTTACTTGACCAAAAAAAATCAGTTTGATTTTTCGGTTTCACGATTTATTTGTTATTTAAAGAAAATATATCATTGCTGTTTTAAGTTTTAAGAAACCAATCATGGAGAAAATAATGTTTACCTCAAATCGTATATTAGGGCAACGGTGTGATAAGCAACGAGAGAGACAGGGGGGGAATGGTCCAAACTTCAAACCCATTTCCATTTTTATGAGGTCGAAGCTTTTCCAATTTCCTATAACAATCTCTTGCTTTCTTGGTCACTCCGGCACCACCTCCGCCACTCTTTTTCCATCTTCCTGTGACATATTCTTCACCGGAATTGCAGTAAATAATGACGGATAGAGTCCACCCGACATCCAAGCCTAATGGCACTGGCACCACCGTCAGAAACCCAAAACTACCACCTCCACCGGCGAAAACCCAAATTAACAACCTGAACCGACTCCCTTACCGGCCGAACCTGCCCAATTATCAACGGAAACGCCGTAGTGGTTTGCGGCGGTGTTTCTGTTTATGCTGCTTCTGGTCAGTTCTCGTCATAATCCTCGTCCTCCTCCTAGCTGGAATCGCCGGTTGCGTCCTTTACCTCCTCTACCATCCACAGCCTCCGACATTCTCTGTTACTTCACTTAAAATCTCGCAATTCAACCTCACCACCGCCTCCGACGACACCACACGGCTCACATCCAAGCTCAACCTCACTATTTCAACGAAAAATCCAAACAATAAAATCGTGTTTTACTACGATCCAATCGCGATCACATGCTTATCGGAGGAAACACAAATCGCAACCGGATCTTTCGGAAATTCTTTTACAAGTAGTCCGAATAACATCACGATTATCCGTTCAGCAATCAGCAGCACATCTCTGCTTCTGGAAACGGAGACAGTGGATCGAATGAGATCAGATCTGAAGAAGAAATCGGGTTTGCCACTGAAGATATTGCTTGATACTCAAGCAACAATGAAAATCGAATCAATCAAAAGCAAAAAGGTCGGAATTAGGATCAAGTGTGAGGGCATTCATAGCCTAATTCCAAAGAAGGGTGGAGTAAAATCCAATAGTTCATCATCGTCGGTGGCTGCTGCTACTGTTTCTGATGCTAAATGTGAGGTTGATCTTCGAATCAAGATCTGGAAATGGACTTTCTGAAGCTTCCACTTTTTACACAAGTTTTTATCCTTTTTAATATTTTTACATTATTTAGCATATTTTGAATGTAATTGGTGTTTTTAAATTTTAATATTATGATATACCATTTTATTATAATTTCAAATTTAATTTATTTGTTCTTGAATTAAACAAAATGTGTAAGGCTTTTTTCATATGAATAATAATAGTAATAACAAAATATATCATCAAAAGATTGAGTTATTATATTTTCATTTGATCGTTAGTATATACATGATGACCTATTGATTAATTATTAAATAATTTAACAAAAAAATATGTTATGTGGACACATTTCACACTCGTTACAAAAAGTTAAAAAGAACCATTTTATTAATTTGAGTCATGATTGTCCATTAAAAAGAAAGAAATGGTGTCAAACATAACATGGGTTTGGTTTTTATGTGGATGATGATGTTGATTGCGTCTTTATATCATATGCTTTCCTTTGCTTTTACTCCCAAATTCATACATATACAATTGATTGCATCTTAGATGATAAATTCAATCTTATATCATCATAGAGTGATAAAATTTTAGACAATTATGTATTCAAACTGTGTCTAGAGTAGATCTCTCGACATGATTTTTAAGATGAATATATTCCATCACAACCTATGAACAAAATGATTTCACATGTGTACATAAATGGATAAGAGTGTGTGGAGTGGACAAGTCATCTTCTTCCCTTGGATAATTATTTGAAATGTGGAACCACCATGTGCCAAAGATACTTCATACACATTCGTCAAATCAATTAAAAATCCAACTTTAATCTACATCAATCACATATATATCTATTGTTGGTGTTTTTTCGTAACAATGACCTCTCTACAAAATATGGAAAATATATACCGAGGATATACATGACAATATTCTACATAAATATCATATATATCTACTAAGAGGACCCTGAAGTTTGAGTTTTTTCGGGATTGCCAGGTGTTGATCAAAGAAAAATAAGAATGAAGTTTATGGGAAAAACCCTTAGAGCGACGTGAGTTTTTGATGGTCGTGATGCGAAGTGCCACATAGGGCGTGACACACCTAGGTGAGATGCAAGACGCGATGCCGCAAAGCCCAAAACCCTAGGTCTCGGGTTTTGGACCATATTTAAGAAACATAACATATAGGGTTAGTCATTTCCTTCGGTCTCCGTTCCAGAGAGCCCTAATCTCAAACCCCTAGCCTCCTTTTCCCCTTTATTTGTGTTTTGGTGCCTTGAAGTGAGTTTTAAAGAAGATAGTTGCTACTTTGTGTCAAGAGAAGCAAACTCCATAGATTCTCTACCTTCTTGTGGCCTCCTCAAGCTCTGTAAGTGATTAAGTGTTGCTAGATATAACATTTTTGTAACGTCCCAAATTTCAAATACCAATATTAACTTAACATGGTTTCAAAACTTCTAAAATTCGGAAATTCAAATACTAATGTCATTATTAATAATAATAGCGGAAGCAAATAGAAATTTAAGTAAACACTTGGTGCGCTACGTCTTCCTCAAATTTTGTCGCCTTCTTCAAGTCTGAGCTTTATCATTTCCATTCCCACTGCCACTTGCTACGTTATTTCCTGGGTTGCGTGCATTTAAAGATTCTAATGGGTAAGCATAGAGCCTAGTGAGTTTGTGGTTTTCATGCATATTGACGTCAATAAAATAAAAACAATGCAACAATCAATCAAATATAAATTCTTTTCATTTCTTTCCACCATTGATGACACATTAGGGAACTAATGTCATTTCCAGGGAACAAGTCCCTCCGCCGGGCACAACAAATATACTTACAGCTAATTAATCAGAGCGTAAGCTCTCCGCCGCGTACTGACACCCTGTACGATGACTAATAATAAGACCGTGTAGTTAATACACTTGTTCCCTATATATATGCCCCCCCCCCCCCCTTCACCCTTTTACATGTAATAGTTCATAAAATTCACACAAATATTCATAGCAATAACAGCGGTAACATGTAATTGCAAAAAAAAAAAAGAGAATTAACTTTTCATGCAAGCAACCACAAAATTCACACGAAACTCACATTGTTGGCGTTAGGTTTTAACCAAAGCTTGTCACGCTACACGCATCCTATATTTAACCAACATATTTTTCTGAGGCTATAATCCTAAAAACATCTTATGTGTTCGTTTTAGTTCCACTATCCATGTATCTCGTTCGGCCAACCAATAACTATCCAATTATGTTAATTACAAAATTCATAACAATTTTAGAACTAATATTATATCTTCTTTTGAAGTTAAAGTTTCACCGCTAAAGTTAATACTCAAAAGTCAAAACAAAATAAATAAATAAATAAATAAATAGTTAAGTAAATAAATAAATAAACTAAAATAAAATAAAAACTTTTAAAATACAAAGACTATTCTTGACCGTGATCTGCAGGCACTTGATGATCTATTTGATCCAGAAAAAAAGATTTGGAGGAGCTGGAGAGGTTGCTAGCTAAAGACTCGGATAAAGAACAAGAACAAGTTGGAAAGCGGGAACCACGTCGTGGTGTGATCATTACCATGACGTGGACCCGTGTTTTTCTAGTTTGTGTTTCGAAGCATGGGGTGACGAGTCCAACTTTGGAGAAAGTTCGGATGTGCGATCCATTTCTAATGAGTGTCCAACTAGTTCCAACCCTTGTCAACATTCTTGGATTTTATGTAATACCCCGATTTTCAAATATTATATTTTTGACCCTTGGAATAAGTTTTGTTTGCAAACTGGCTCATAGTGGCATTGTCATAAATTTTAGGCAAATCAGAGTACGCTAGGCGTACCAGCATGGTACGTGGGGCGTAAGGCTTTTAATGGAACGAAGTCGTTTTGGGAGTACGTTGGGCGTACTTCGTCTGGGCGAAAACCCTAATATTGAGGGTTTGGACCTTATTTATTGATTCTTAAGTTTCATTTCTTCACCCCATTCCCAGCGTCTATCCTTAGAAACATCTTCTCTTGCAAACCCTAGCCCCATTGTTGCACTTTGAAGCTTGAGTGTGTGTTTTGTGTGTTCCAAAGGAAGAAGAAGGTGGTGGTGAATCTTAGAAGCTAGAAGCAAGAGTGGATCTAGAAGTTTTGCATCCTTCTCCATCTCCAGAAGGTAAAAAATTCCCACCTTGATGAATAAGTTGCTAGATCTAGCTTGCATGACGAAAATATGAGCTTTTGTCCCAAATATGGCCTTTCTAGTGTATGATATGTTACGGAACGTGTGGGTTGTCCTTTCAGACGTATTTCCATGTCTTGAGCCATAAAAATAAGACCTTGGCCCCTGAGATTCCTTCATGCAAGCCATTAAGAGCTTTAGTGGTTAAGACAAGTTAGAGTTTTGTTGTTGGGCTTGATCTAGACATGTAGAACCATAAAGTTGGAAAATTTATGGTTTGGGATGCCATTTTGGGCTAAGACTGAAAGTTAGACGTAGTATCTTGAGGAATTAAGCCCTCGAAATGAAGTTGTTAAGCCATTGCGTACGCTGGGCGTAATTGTAGTACGCCAGGCGTACGCCTGAGGGGAGCCTGATCTGGATCGCGAGTGCGCGGGGCGTACGAGCCGAGTACGCGGGGTGTACTTGGTATGGGTTGACTTTTTTTGATTTTGACTTTGACCAAGGTTGACCATATAGATCATACAACCGTTGGTTCATGATACATCATGACACCTGCTATCCACTAAATGATAAACTCACGGTACTAAACCGCTCTTGCCGTCATCACATCCACAGCTTGAAGACTCACGACCAACACTAAATGGACCTAAAGATACCCAACCATCAGTCACCAACTTACTGGAACCCAAACAAGATCCCTCTCAATGTTATCTGAACACAACATGAGCCATACTCCTTTATCATGCACAATTCCTTTCACAACACAAACTGATATCAACACAAACTAGACGAACCTCAACCGTTAACAGAAACATCCCCATGAATGATCGATACAAGATCCCACACCTTGATTGAAACTGAAAAGATTCCACCAATACGTAACTAGTTCAAGAAAACTCCCAAGGTGGTCTAGAAATGTTGCAAAACCTGAGCCTGCTATGCACCAAAATTCCACACCACAATTGAGGGTAAACATACCCAGCAACCAACGAAAATTTTAAAACATACGGAACTTGACGATAGGTGGACGCATCCATTGAACTTCAACTGACACAACTTGAAAATTTCGAAGAACCTCCACTTTTGATGATGAACGAAAAGAATGCACTGACAACTAACCCAATAACCCAATACGCTACTTGCATAAAACCCATGTCAGACTAAACAAAACTCTAAAGATGATTTACCAATCAATATTGCCCACCATAGAATAGAGAATGCAATCTATACAATGATTCGGGGAATCCCTCAACACTCAATACCCAACATGAGCATCCCAAACGCCTCTCGATCTATTCAGCGACATTCTGAAGGGAATCCACTGGCTACAACAAGCTCGTTATCCAACATATTCTTGTCGCGAAGACGAATCTTGCATTCCTGAATACATACATCTAATGATATATTTCCTTGTACCTCCATCCTGACCAAATCCTGAAACGAAGTTCCGCGTACCCAAACCGCAAATCCCTACGACCCATTCTGCTGAAATCATGAACTCGACCATAGCAATGATCCTTCAACCAAAATAGTCGGTTCTCCCCCACTTAGGGTTCGAACTACCACCAAATGATGTTGCAGACATACCACATCTCAAACAGGTCTTCCAGATAAGAACCAAGCGAACACAAATTTATCCTGGATCTCAGATGGAAACCTCGAAAAACCTCCCAATCATAACCACCTCTAATATCAAAATCCCATGCAGATGCACAAACAATAATTATGTCCACTCATGACACCAATTATCCATCTAGAAACAAATGAACTACCATACTCCTCACCTAATTCCCCAACACACAATTCATCGTGAGCATTACTTATAATTACAAGAAGCATCATTCTCTTAGTCAGGATACATCAAAGACA